TATATATATATATATATATATATATATATATATATAACTAGAATTTTTAACGGCGCACATTCGCGCGCCCCCTATCGGAATTCTAGAATGAATTTATCCTGTTCAATTTATATCGATATATTGATATGTTCACGTACCAGGAGATTGACCAATAGTAACTGAGGAGGGTTTATATCTACAATAAAGAATCAGGTCCCATTTTTTCGACTATTGACTAACTTCAAACTGTCATGTATTTTTATTGTAGGGATAGATTAAAATATCGATAATATAAATTGAAATATATAAATTAATAAATAAATTTATAAATAAGTAATTTGTATTAAAAAAGAAAATTATTTTTTATGCATATTAAAAAACTTTTTTCAGTTCCAGGATTTAAATACCGCGTTGTATGACAGTAAATGGTTCGCAGTTGATAATAACGCTCGCAAGTCCTTAATAATAATGATGATAAATTCTCAAAATCAAGTAACTTTTACAACCGGACACATAGTTACACTTTCACTTGATTCATTTACAAACGTAATGGCTCAAATTATCCTTTTTCAAATGATCAACAATTAAATCTAAAATATTAAATAAAAAATTTCTTCCAGCTGGTGAAACTTTCATACACAATCTACAACGTCCTCCAGCAATCATCTGAATGAACAAAAAATTGTTATTTGTTAAAATTTGTTGAATAGAATAAAAAATAGTAAAAAATTTCAGACCTCAAAATTTAAACAATTAACAATTGAACAATTTTAACTTTAAAACAAAAACAATTTTAATTTTAAAACAAAAATTTAAACAAAAAAATTGACTTGACGTCAGCTGAATAGAAGCGATCCTTTCTCTTCGGAGATTCAACCGCAACTGGCGCATCCCTTATTTTATTATTCACCATCGATCGCCAGCACAACAGAACTCGCCAGCATATTTTTAAAAAAATTATTCCGCAAACTTAAACTTTTATTACCGTCATATTAATTTAAAATTCACTTGCGACAATGTTTTTCCTTTCTTTTCGACTATTTATATCTTACGCAATAAAAGTAGTTTATCTATTATGCAAAATTTAATTCGCAACATTATAAAGTCGAGTCAAACTCCTTATTTTCCATGGATGTCGTTATTTTAGTTGGAAATATAAAATTTACCTCTTGCTATTTATATTCATCCCTTTGTCTGTTCCCATCATTCTTCGATCTCTAGACATTGTGGAGTCAATTCCCCTCATTGTCATTGTTATCCGGGAATTTAAAATTCACCACGTTGACATTTTATATCAACTTTTACTTCTATTTCTGTAAAAGCTCCCACTTTTTCCACAGCAGCTAATAAATTAAATATTTACATTTATTAAAAGCTGAAAGAAAGACAGTAAGGTTCTTTGTTTCCTCACTTCTTGCGATGGACGTACTCCAGGAAAACTTTTCAGTCCTTTGCTATCTGGGGGTGTGGAAACCACTCAATTGTTCTGGCGTAGCCTCTTTCTTATACAATTTATACACTCTTCTGATCGCAGCAATGTCTCACACGATGTTGTTCACCCAGATATTAGACCTTATTATCAGCACCAAGACAGTAAGCGACTTTACGAACAACATCTTCATAGTGTCGGCCATTCTTACTGGATGCTTGAAAGTATATCGGTTCATACGGAGTCGCAATACTTTTATTTATATTATCAATAGTTTAAAAAGAGGAATTTTTAAACCTGCGAGTCAAAATGAAATTATGATCTGGAATAGTTATGCAAGATTAACCAGGTATTTATTTATATTTTTTTCAAATTTTCTATTTTTAGGTAGACTTCTTTAGAAATTTATATCGTAATTATTAAATAATTTTTTTGATTTTTAAAATTATTCCTCCACTTTTTTCATAAAGATAATTTTTTCAATTTATTTTATAACTTGGAAAATTGAAAAAAATTTTTTTTTTTTTCAATTTTTTAACTAAGAAATCTATATTAAAAGAATAAGAAAAATTTTGTGTCCAGGATAGTCATATGATCAAATTGGTTTTTTAGTGAAATTTAGTCTCATTGCAAAGGTCTTGATTTAAATTTGTGCCGTGTCAAAGTTTCATAATGACGTTCTAATTAGCAAATTGTCTAACTCCATTTTAGAGAATCTTCCATTTGTACGAAAAAACAATTAGTTCAAAATTTATTATCATTTTAAAAAATAATTTAATATCTAATAGAGGTATACAATTTTGGTTTGGATCATTCAAATAATTTATAATTAGATTATTACCACATTAAAATGTTAAAAAATCACCCTCTAAAAAATAAGGAGTTAAACCAATTGCTAATTAGACCGTCGATATCATTCTCACCAATAGTCAATTTATGATGATAATTATTTAGGCTTAATTCAAAAATACTCTATCTATAGATACATAGTTAAGAAATGATCTAGTATCTCATGAACTATTGACATTTTAAAAGATATAAGCTCATCCCGATGTTATACTCATCGCGACCTTTCATTTGAGTACCCACATCAATTTTTCATATATTTTATATTTTATATATTTATATAATATAAATATATGAAAAATATATGAAAATGCATGTGGGTACTCAAATGAAAGCTCTTGATGAGTACAACATCGGAATGAGCTTATATCTTTAAAAACGTCAATATTTAAGAAAGTACAGTGCAATTTAACAAAAGTCATTATTTAAAAAAGCAAAATTTTATTTATTTATAGAGTAGTTTTTTTAAATTACTTCAAAGTTATTTTTTAACTTTTTTTCTTTAATAATGGTCCAAATTGAGATTTTTTTTATTCTTTTTTAGGTAGATTTCATAGAAATCAATCTTTTGCATTGGTCCTTATGTCGGAATTTACTTGGAATTTTGTCGTAATATCACTTAACTAGTCGAGTAAAGCTCAAAAATAACGTCAGTTAAAAAATTTATATATGTAATCCATCGATAAGTTTAGAAATGGCAGCTCTTCAAAATTATCAAAATAGTGAAAATCACGTTTTCGGTGACTTCATTGATGTATAACTTTTGGTTGAAAAGAGATGGCTAATTTTTAATGAATTCATGTAAAAGCTCATGAAATTGCCTTTAATTTGGCGTATATAACATTGACATTTTTACCATTTTTAGTTATTTTATCAAAGTTAAGAGTTCTATTGAACCATTTTCAGGCAATGTGTAGTGCAGCCGACTTATTAATGTTATTCTCTCGAGAATTCGTAACAGATCCCAATGAAATTCAGTATACAAATTCTTTAGACAATTAGCTTACATGAGCCTTAAAATGAGCAAAATCCTTCGGTTAGTTCAGAAATAGTAGCTTTTCAAAATTATCAAAATAGTAAAAATTACGTTTTTGGTGACTTTATTTGTGTATAACTTTTAATAGCAAAAAGATAGCTGACTTTTGATAAATTTATGTCAAAACTCATAAAATCACTTCTAATTTGACGTATATAACGTTAACTTTTTGACCATTATTAGTTATTTTATCGAAGTTAAGAGTTCAATTGAACCATTTTCAGGCAACGTGTAATACAACCTACTTATGTATGTTAGAATAAATTTCATTCCATGTCAAACGAAAGTTATTGAGACAAGATGAAAATTCATTCTATGAAATCTACCTTCCATTTCGGGTATGGCCGAATGGCTTCTTTTTTTTTCTTTAAGCCTTGTGGGAAAAAAAAAAAAAAAAAAGAAAATATTTCCAGAGTCGTCACGATAGCAGCGACAACATCTCTTATAATAGGACTGATCGTAATGTCCTACGCACTGTGCTCATTCAACATCCCAAGAAAACAATTACTGTACCAGGCCTGGCTGCCTTACAACTATACATCTCGGCCGATTGTCTACTGGGTGTCATCGATGGAGCAGCTTGTTACAGTTTACATTCTCGCCGGAATAAACTTTTCATTCGACCTGATTTTCTTCGGAACAATGCTGAACATTTGCGCGCAAATAAAAGTTCTGAAGCTTCGATACAAAGTTGCTTTATCGCAATTCTACTCTGTTGATTCCAACAACAATGACATACTCGAGCTGAAGGATGTCAGCAAGCTCATTGCCGAGTACACGACATCACATGAGTCAATAATAAAGTAAATTTAATTGCTCAAAATTTGTTTCTCATTGTATTAATTTAAAAAATTTCGAACAGATTATTCAATACGGCTCACCATTTATTTTCTACCATCGTCACCATCCAATACTGCACTAGCTCAGTCGCATTTTGTACAAGCGCATTTAATATTACAAAAATGAAATTTTTCTCTTTTCATTTCTTCTCGACTGCGCTTTACATCAACAATGTTATGATTGAGCTGTTCATACTCTGCGTTTCTTCCAATGAAGTAACACTTCAGGTAACATTGAAATTTTTCTTACCAGCAATAATTAAAAGTTCATTTTTATACCCGCGAATTTTACTGAAGTAACAAAAAATATTTTTTTCGATAATTTTTAACTTTGCTATTTATTTGATGAAAAAATTTTTGATTAATGCGAAAATATATTTAAAGTTTGCAGATTTAGGCAAAGCATTTTACGATTGTCAGTGGTATGCGATAAATAATGCCAACAAAAAATCACTTGGAATAATGATGACTAACACCGTAAAGCCAATTTACTTCACTTGTGGTTATATTATCCATTTATCACTCGATTCTTTTACGAGCGTAAGTAAAATTTATTTTAAACTAATCAAATGTTAAAAAATAAAAAATATTTATTTAAAAATTATATTTTGACAGGTACTCAAACTTTCTTATAGTATTTATAATGTCCTTCAGAGTTCATCATAAACACTTGTAGCCAATTATTGTTTTAACTTCAAAATTTTGTTTTCTATTAGTACCAAAAATAATTATTATTCACCACGAAGTTCTGTCTTATAAATTAATTTTTCTGCGAGCATCTGTGGATCTCTTTAAAAAAATTTTTTATGGAGTTCAAAATTATCTGACGCGTCTATTGTGTAAATAATTAGTAATTAAAAAAATGAACATAATTAATGCAATCATTTAAATAAAAATCATCAATAATTAAAAATTTTTAATTATTATAAGCACTGATTTTCATTCAATTTTAACTAAAAAAAATAATTTCACAACAGAAAAAAATTGTTACAAAAAAATAAGGAAAAAAATTGAATTTATAAAAAACTTGGAAAACTAAAAGAGAAATTTAAAAAAAATATTTTTTTGTTCCAATTTAATAAATGAAAAAAAAAATTAAAAAATTATAAACGTCGACTAAACTAACTTTAGTATTATCAGAAAACTGACAATTTGAGACATTTTTTTAAAACTCCGTTCTCCATCAAGTCTGAAGCGCAACTGAAGCTTCTCAAGCTTCGTTAGCCGCGTAAAATATTGATTTACAGAGAAGAAAGACTTGCTTGAATTCAGAACTATAGAACTATAGAATATTTAGCAATAATTTCCGAAAATTGAACCGATTACTGAAAATTGTTGCTATTATTTTAATGACGTTAATTCAGAAAATGACTTCTTATCTTTAATAAATAATTTCAATTATTTTGCAACATGGGTAGAGTTAATTTCAAAATTATTAGAAGGCTTATTATAAATTTTGCAACGAAGAAAATGGAAGTTCTGCAGGACAATTTTTCTATATTAGCCTTTATCGGTGTTTGGAAACCAATAGACTTGACTGATCGTTGGAAATCATTTTTATTTTATATTTACGCATTAGTAGTAACTTTTATGTCGTACTGGTTTCTAATAACCGAGATAATTGGTCTCGCTGTGTATACAAAAAATATAAATGACTTTGTTGCGAATGTCTTTATTGTGACAGCTTTGTTTACGGGCTGCATTAAAGTGACATGCTTTCAGCGCAACCGCGCGACATTTATTGATATTATAAATAATTTAAAAAGAGGATTTTTTGAGCCGCAATCTCAAGAAGAATTAAATATTTGGGAAAAACGCGCCCGAAAAAACAGGTGAGAATTTTGAGATACTTAAAAATAATTACTCTGAAGCTGACAAGCACTAGAAATTTTTTTTTAAATTTAATAACAGTGAAATTATTGTGAAAATAATTAAATAAAAAAATTCCACATGTAAAAATTGTTGAAAAAATTCTAAAAATTGACAGCTGTCAGCTAACTTCACTATGAAAATTAATTTATTAGATATTTTATCATTTTTGTAACAAATAAATTGAATGAAAATTTATTTAGTACATATTTAATAATTTTAATAATTTTATAAGAAATAAATTATGGCAAGAAAAAAATTGACATGTAGAAATTAAAAAAAAAATAAAAAATACAATTTTTTTTAAATAATTTTTTGAAACAAATTTTTTTGTCAAATAAAATTAAAAAATGGTCGTGACTGCTAACTTTAATATCATAACTTCCCTATTATTAAAAATAATCTAAATATATTTAAAAAGATAATTCTTTAACTTAAATATTGACTTGATTTTTTTTTTTACTTATTTGCATTGTTTCAGAAAAATTTCAATATACGCGTATTTCTGGCTCCTAGTGGGGTTAGAAGCAATAACAATGGCAGTATTATCTTCAGAAACTATAAACAATAGATTGCTAGTTTTCCAGGCCTGGTTGCCTTATAATTACACCACAAGCACGACAATTTACTGGATCTCATCACTGGAACAGCTGATCGCCGTTCACATCCTCGGGCTCGTTAATTTTTCATTCAACCTAATTTTTTTTGGAATAATGGTTAATATTTGCATTCAAATGAGAATACTGAAACTTCGTTACAGAAACGCTATAACAACTGACAATTTACTAACTGAAAATCCTCCTGGAAAATTATTGGAGGCCAAGAAGCTCATTCAAGTATTTGCAGATTGTCATATTTCTATAATCAAGCTAGTATTTTTAATCATAAATTGTAAATTTAATTTGAAAAATAATAGTTAATTTTTAAATAATTATTTATAGGCGATTCGAGCAAGTTCATTCGTTGTTTTCGACAATAGTGACCATTCAATATTTTGTAAGCGCGATAACATTATGCACTAGCGCTTACAATATCACTAAAGAGCAATTTGGCTCGTATAATTTTATGCTGACAATATTTTACATGCACAATATCACCATTGAGCTGTTTTTGGTCTGTGTTTCCAGCAATGAAGTTACACATGAGGTATTATTTTACAATAATATGATCCTGAATTTAGCTAACACCTGTCAATTTTTTTTATTTTTTTTACAATTTAATTACACTAAAAAAATGCTTTAAAAAATTTCCACTAATAATTATAACACTGAAGTTGACAAACATTAGAAATTTTTTTAGAAATTTATAGCAAAAAATTATTATGAAAAAAAATTAACAATCTAAATTTTTTTAAGTATTTTTTTTTTCTTGTAATTGATTTGTTATAAAAATTAAAAAAATTTACAGTTATCAGCTAAGTATTATTAATAGTTTTATTTAATTTCCACATGTGGAAATTTTTTATTAAAATTTTTTTCATAATAATTTAATTGCTATAAAATTATAAAAAAAAATTTTAATGTCAATTGACTTGTGTCTTTACAATAATAATCATTTAAAACAATGAAAGTCAGAAATTTAATAAATTAACTAAATTTATCGGTGAAAAATAATTTAAGGACTGAATAAAGTTTTCAGATTTAGCTGATGGGTTTTATGATTGCGAGTGGTACTCAGTAAACAATCCTAGTAAAATATCAATCGCAATTATGATGACAAACACGGTAAAACCAGTCAATTTTACTTGCGCGTACGTTATTTATCTTTCCCTAGAGTCATTTACAAGAGTAAGTAAATTAATAATTTTTATTATCACTATAACTCACTTCTATCTCTTACAATTATTATTTACAGGTCATTAAAGTTTCATACAGTGTCTTCAGTGTCCTACAAACTGTATAATACAATTAATAATAAATATAGTTAGAATAAATTTATAGAAATGTGGATTAATGTGAAGAGAACGACAATAATTGCATTATTTAATCTGATAATTTAATTTTATTAACTTATTTTTGTTGTTATTAGTTAACTCAAGAATAAGCCTTCACAAAAAAAATTTTTTTAATTATCAATAATGAATAATATAGAGTATTCTATTAATGTAATTGAGGTTACAGTCTACAGTTAAAGTGAACGGACGCGTCTAAAACTCGCTCCCGGTCTTTTTCAACTTAATTGATACTTATCTGAAAACTTTTTCGAAAATTTGTTATTTTATGGTAGACCTTAATGCGCTCTACCCTCTGACATAATAATCGCATTAAATTCTTGAGTAATCATTTCTAAATTTTTATAAATAATAAACGACAATATCGTGCTTGTGCTTGAGGTTATGAGTGATGTTTTTAGTTTGGGTAGTCCGCTTACCAACACTGGTGAAAACGTGGTAGTGTATATGGGTGAGAATCAGTGTCAGTTGAAGGAGAATCACATCCCTAATACTAACATTCGTGAAGAGGCGACAGCGTCTGCGCAAGTAAACCAGCAGCCAATTCATGAATCGGACTACCAAAATAATTCACCAATCGTCAAAACCAAACGTGGACGTCGTTCAAACCTTGAAAGTTTGAGTCATCACCGCTCCAGTTCAACCTGCTCGATCACAGATTACTTTAAGAGGAAACGTAACCTGGACGACAGTCTTGAAAAATCCTTCCAGGAGACAGCAGACAAGATACTCGCTTCTTTGAAAAAGAAGCAATTCAGAGAAGAACATCTATCTTCGCCCTCTAACGACATTTCTTCCTCAGCACCAGTAGCAGCATCCTCACCGGAAACAATGAACGACTGTGAAAGTATTCTGAAAGCCATTAATGATCTAAGAGTGGATCTGAACAATAAAATGGATGCATTAAGGATCAGCAATGAAGATAAATTCTCATCGCTGGAGAATAAAGTTTCCAAACGAATCGAGGCAGTAGAAGTAAAACAGAGGACTGATTTTAAAAACCTAAATAATAAATATGATAACCTAGCGCTCAGTCTACAAAATATCAACAAAAGGCTCGATAGTGGTACCACCCCTAATTCTGGCAATGATATGTACCCCGCGAAGATGAATAAACTCCTTAAAATCGCGCAAAACATGGAAAAGAAGGATAGGGAGGAAAGGAAGGATAATATAGTCATAAAAGGATTAAATAATTCGCACAATCTCGAAGAAGCTACGGTCCTTATTAATGACTTCTTAAAAAGCAAATATGGCTTATCTAACTGCTACAAATCTCTGAAAGTACTTGGTAAAGACCAGAATATATATAAGATAACTCTTATGAACAGTGAACTTAAAAAACAAATTATGGCTAATAAAAAACGTAACCTGGCGGATACTAGAGTCTTTATTGAGAACGATCTTACTGAACAGCAAGCCTCAGAAATGTATAACCTGAGACTTGCCACGAAAGAGCACAAACTAAAAGGAGACAAAGTCAAATTTTTTAGAAATAAAGTCAGTATAAACGATAAGTGGATGCAGTGGGATGAAGACCAAGGAGGACTAGTAGAATCGCGGACCCCAGTACGCAACATAGAAAGCAAAAAAAATAATAACCCGACACGAACTTCCAAACACAACAAACAATAACTAAATACGGATCCTCTAAAAATAATGTCTTGGAATGTGAATGGATTAAAAAATCTTCAATCTAACGCTGACATATTTGGAAATGATATTATTGGAATTATTGAAACCTGGGCAACCAAGCCTACTAAACTTAGCTTCTGGGAAAATTACTACAAGTTACATTGGATAGAAGCAACCAAGAATAATAGTATGGGCCGCCCCAGCGGCGGAATGTTAATTCTTGTCAAAAAAGAAATTTCCAGTTACCAACTGCACAAATCTTACAACTGTTTCTTAACAAAAATAACACAGAGCAAGATGAAATCAGATTTTATAATTGGTTTTATTTACCTACGACCGAATGATAAACTTTTTGACTCTGATCTCACAAATTTCCTAGAAGCTATAGAGTCAATAAAATTACAATACAGTGATCTTCCTCTCTATATTATGGGTGACTTCAATGCACATATTGGTGTTCCGGAGCTGCTGCAAGAAGAACTTCTCATAGGAGCAAATCTAATGGTAAAAAGTGTTTTCTCCAACGAAGACTTAAATCAGAGGGGAATTAGTGTTAATAATTGTATGGACATCACAAACTTTATTGTCATAAATGGTAGAACCATCGGTGACAGTCCAGCACAGCCAACATATTGCGGGAGGGGAAGTAGTATAATTGATTTAGCTTGGTCAAATGTTGATGGTCTTGAATATATTGAGGACTTTAGTGTTCTTTTTTCAGTTAACTTTTCAGATCATTTTCCCATCTTACTAAGTCTGAAACATGACTCTCAAAACAAGCAATATGAAAGCTCAGATATTTTAACCTTGAAAGATAAAAGTATTAAATATAAATGGAATAACAAGAATAAGTACGATTATAGTCTTTCTTTGAAATGGTCCTCATTAATAAACGTAAATTTTAGTTCCGGCTCAATTAATTACTTGCAAGATCGTCTGTGTCTTGCTATCACTGATGTTTCTACCAAACTCGGTATGTCATGTGTCACTTCTGACCATAAAATTAAAAAAAATCTTTTGTATGTAGAGCCTTGGTATGATAATAGTTGTAAAGTCCAAAAAAATATTGTAAATCGTAAGTTAAGATTATATAGGAAAAATAAGTTTAATGCTGTTGATAGAGCTAACTACTTATTAGAGCTTAAGGAGTATAAAAATATTTGTAAAATAAAAAAAGACGAATTTATAAGCAGATTAACTTCCGATGTAAACAACGCAAAGAAGCCACATGAATTCTGGAATGCAATAGGTAAATTCCGGGGTAAGAAATATACAATGCCAGACATTACTGCAGCGCAATGGGTGGAGTTTTACAATAATATGGCGAAACAATTTACACCTGATAATTGGGTAATTCAGGGCACATATGATCCACTTCTAGATAATGATTTCACTATGGCAGACTTGTCAGAGGCCTTGCATGCGAGCAAGTTAAATAAATCACCAGGCGTAGACGCAATTACAAATGAATTTCTCAAAGCCCTGCCATATAATTGGAAACTCTATCTATTGTGTCTGTTTAACAGAGTTATGAGGGAGGAAGAAGTTCCCGATTCCTGGTCAGATATACTTGTAACAATGATACATAAAAAAGGCGATAGAAAAGACTTAAATAACTATAGAGCTATTGCTCTAGTAAACCATATTACTAAGATTTTTACATCTATGATCGCAAACAGACTATATAACTGGGCTAGCTTACGTAATATTTTACCGGAGGGACAAGCGGGTTTTAGAACCAAGAGAGGCTGTATAGATAACCTTTACGTTTTAATGGAAATGATACATTCTAGTATCAGACAGGATAGAGGCAGCGCATATGTGATATTTGTTGATTTTAAGAGAGCATTTGACTCTATAGCACATGATAAGTTATGGTCTAAGTTACTAAAATTAGGTTTAAGTGCAAAAATAATTAGAATTTTGAAAAACTTATACGAAAAAGCTTCTATAAGAGTAAGAGCTGCAGATGGACTGTCTGAGAAAATTGATGTTAATGAAGGGGTGCTGCAAGGCGAAATTTTAAGTCCGCTTTTATTTATTTTGTATATCTCCGATATGGAAGATTTCTTCCGGGCGAAAGGCATGTACGGCATAAACATTGACCATAAGACAGACGTCCTGCTCCTGCTCTATGCAGACGATTTAGCCATACTCGCGAGAAACAAAGCCAACGTGGCAGCTAAGTTAAAAGTTCTGTATGAATATTGTGTAATTAACCAACTCGTTGTAAATGAAAACAAAACCGAGATTCTTTTCTGTCACAAAGCAGGTAGAATACCAAATAAATTGAACTTCCTTTACAATGGTAATAAAATCAAAGTAGTTTCAAGCTATAATTATCTAGGGATCCCCTTCTCATCCTCGGGACGAGGTAGATTAGCTTTAAAAAATGCGATTAAAAAAGCTAGGTCAGCAATTGGAGCTGTCCTATCCTTAATTTATAGAGCCAAAATAAATAACTTCGACATTATAACCTCTCTGTTTGATGGTATGGTGGCCTCAGTAGCCCTATATGCTGCGCCCATATGGGCACTGAGGTACACTGAGGATTTGGACTGTCTAATAGTTGAGTACTTTAAGTCAATACTTAGTCTCAAACGAACTACTTCAAACGCGTTGATTAAACTTGAATCAAACAAATTGGGTCTGTCCTTGATAATCTGGAAAAATACTTGGCACTGGATTGTAAAAATTCTAAGTATGGACGAGAATAGATTGCCATTTTTGTGCTTTAAAAAACAATTAACTTTATACAAGAATAATTATAAGGCTCCGGAATATAATTGGTTTGCTCAAATTGCTACATTTATTAACACAGTAGACCCCAACTTCATGTTCCTTATCGACACCCTAGATAGTAATGTATGGGAGAGGGCTGGTATAAAACTACTCGAAAAATATAGAAAACTCCTAGAGCAAAATATTCTTACTCAAACTCGTAATATCGCATATCTTGAATCGAAAGTAATTTGTTCTCAAAACTCAAACAACTATCTTAAGAGTAATGTAGGTTTACAAGTAAAAAAAGTCTTCGCTCAACTGCGAACGGCAAATAGCTTTGGCTTTAAAATACTTATAAACGGTATAGTGAATGAATTCTTCCCTTTTTCTAACTGCCCTATTTGTGATTCTGGAGAAAAAGACACACTGTCTCACTTTTTGCTTAGCTGCCCGACCCTAAATAATTTAAGAAAAAATTTTCTAAGTAGCATTGGCATTGTACAATCTAACGACATCCTAAATGATATATTAAATTTTCACAAACCGAACCAATTGAAAACTCTGTATCTGTTTATTGAAAAATTCTGTTTTTTAAGAGGATCCAAGACAAACAAAAATACGTAAATTATTATTAATTTGTAACTTTATATGAATAAGTATCTTTATGTACACTTCTTATATATGTAACCTCTATTGTAATGTATATGTACAGGAAAGCAATAAAAATACTACTATTAATGTAATTAAGTAGGATAATGATCCTCAGTGAAGAAATACAGCTTTTAATTAAATTTCAGAAGTATAGACAATGTCGAGTAATGAGTTTTAAAGAACAATAATTAATAATTATTGCCGGATTTTAATGAATTTAATTTAAAAAATTATTTAAAGTTGAACCAAATTTAAGTCTTGAAGAAAACTTGAAAAAATTAACAAAAATCACGACTGTACAAAAAAATGTTTGCAGATTAAAGATTTATTACCACAACATCCGTCTAGAAAATAAAAATTTATCATGAAAATTTTTAACAATACAAAAATTCTATAGCGGTATAACTTGCATTGTTAAAAAAATAGAAATTACACAGCTTACAAAAAAAAAATTTTTTTGTGTTGCCTTGGATATTTTTGCAAATTTTTATGTTTTCGAGTACCTAAATTACGAATATATTCATGAAAATACTGAATGTGCTCTTTTTTTTATGATTTTTACGTATCTTATATTTTGAACAATTATCAGCTTGTTAGTACTAAAATTTGTTTTCCCAGTCCTGATTAAGCTTCTGCGCAACTTTTTTGCGCATACAAACATCACTTGATCTCCACTCTCAGACTCCTTGCTCCGCAAAACAGCTGATAACTCAGTTATTTGATAATATTGAAGTACTTACACGTGAATCTGGATAAGTTGTCATATGTTAATATTTAGATTCAATTGCTGAGTGTTCATTCTAATATATTTGACTTGTCTTTTTAAACATGAGTTCGTCACGAAGAAAGTGTAAATATAATAGTGATTTATTTTGTTATATTTGTGGTATTTATATATTAAAAAAAACAAAAACGAAATATCACAGACTTTGTTAAGGAGACTTAGGCTTAATATTTCGGTTTTAAAATGGACAAATTAGATAAATCATGGGTTCCGAATAAAGTTTGTAAGTCCTGTCTTGAGTCTTTGCGGTTGTGGAAAAAAGGAAAACGTTTTGGATTAGACTTTGGTATTCCTATGATCTGGATTGTAACGGAGTACACGGGGCCTTCTTTACCCAGAGAAGGTTTCCGATCCGTGAGTTAGTTATCGACTGATTCCCCAGAGCGCTGTGCTCCGAAGTACTCGCGCCTCTAGTTGTAAGTTAGTGAGTAAGTCCCCAAGAGGGAAGCGCCGGCGCGGAGAGTGAGTGGGGAAGACGGAGCGAAGAAAGA